GAAGAACACACAGCATCACTATAGGAAGAGACAATGGCTTTCCATGTGAGAGGGAACCAAGGTCCCTGAAAGGCCAAAGGCCAGGATCATACATTTGTGTCTCCAGAAATGTCTTGTTAGAGAAGCAAATCTAGACCTTGGGAGAAGTGAAGGTCACTCATCTATCAGGCCTAGCAAAATGCCTTGTGTAGAGCAGGTGCTCAGTTCTTATTAAGAGACCACATCTTCACAGGTGGCTGGTAAATCGTATGTCATCAAGGGATGCAGAGATAGGGCAGAGAGGACACTGTCTGCTGGCTTCCTAGATTCTTACTGCTCTCACTTCCTAAGGCTGAGTGAAATGTCTTCCATAGGGCTTCCTTGGCATCTAGCTCCATGCATCACATCCCTTACCTCTAGAATCTAGCACTTTGATCATTCTAGGTTTTGATAAATGAATGAATTAGGGAGTGAATAAATGAGATGATAGTCTGTCTGGCTTGTGAGAGAAGATGGGGGGGGAGTGTTCAGGGAGCTGCTCAAGGCTAGACCTTGCAAATGCCATGACTTTGTTCAATGTTTGAGAGCAAGTACATTGCTTAACTAATTTATCCTTCCTTCCTTCCTTCCTTCCTTCCTTCCTTCCTTCCTTCCTTCCTTCCTTCCTTCCTTCCTTCCTTCTTTCCTTCCTTCCTCCTCCTCTTCCTCTTCCTCCCCCTCCTACCCCTCTTCACCACTTTGGCTATACTAGAGTTTGAATGTGAAGCCTTGCACTTGCTAGTCAGGCACCCTTATCACTGAGCCATGCTGCCAACACTTTTTTGCATTGTTTATTTTTTGAGATAGGATCTTATACCCTGCATAGGCAGCTGTCTGAATTGTGATCCACCTATTCTGGACTTCCTGTTGTAGCTGGAATTACAGGCATTCATCATTAGGTCCAAATTCTTTCATAAAGATCGATTCTCCATAACTTTTCGGCTAGATAGATGGGTTCTTGTCAGTCTCTTCCAATTTATCTCACATTTACAGAGTCTTTAGGGCCCACTCAAAAAACTACCTTCTTGCTGGGCACTGGTTCCTGCCTGTAATCCTAATTAGGAGGTTAGGATCTGAGGATTGGGGTTGAAAGCCAGCCTGTGCAGGAACGTCTGGGAGACTCTTCTCTACAATAATTTACTCAGAAAAAGCTGGAAGTAGCTCTGTGGCTCAAGTGGTAGAGTAATAGCCTTGAGCAAAAGAAGCTCAGGGCCAGGGCCAGAGTTCAAGCCCCAGGACTGATAAAACAAACAGAAAACCCAACCTTCTTTACCAATTCTCCCTTTCCCTATTGGAAGCCATCTTTCCCCCCTGTCATCTATTATCATCTTCTAACCACCTAAGGTACTCTTCGGTTCTTCCTTGTGCTGCTGTGATTTCTGTGCTATTATACCCCTGACCTGTGAGATCTTTCATGGAATCAAATATCCCTGCCTCTAGGTCCTAACTTCCCCCAAACACTTACAGAATAACTTGCACGTACTATGTGCTTAAAAATAATGAACTTATCCCTGGGAACTATGGTGAAAATGAACTATACAATCTATAAGTGGGGATGGGAGGGAAAAACTGGGAGAGAGACATTATCCCCAAAGAAATTTACTCTTTATCTGACCTGTGTAACTGTAACCTCTCTGTACATCACCTTTATAATAACATTAAAAATTAAAAAAAAATAATGACCTGAATATGTATAGGATAATTTTCTATGTTTAGAAATCATCATTTAATTCCTCTTTGGAACTGAATGATTTCTAAACATAGAAATGTCTTGTTAGAGAAGCAAATCTAGACCTTGGGAGAAGGGAAGCTCACTCATCTATCAGGCCTAGCAAAATGCCTTGTGTAGAGACCACATCACCACAGGTGGCTGGTAAATAGTATGTCACCAAGGGATGCAGGGATAGGACAGTGAGGATGCCATATATACCGCACTTTCCCAGTTGATCCACTTAGAGAGGAAAAAGAGCTGAAAAGGAAGCATCGCAAGTAACTGGCCTTACGCACTGTCCAGAATCCTGAAATGGCTATAAATAATGACCCAGCATATACGTGATTTCACTACAGCTTTACTCAAAGGCTAGCTACAACTCGAAAATTGTGAAAATGTTTAAATGGAGGGGAGTATTTCCCAAAGGCTAGTAAGCCCACCGCTATTGCCTCAAGCATCTTCATCTGAATTACACTCCCCTAAACTGCACAGCCTAGAAGGGGTGTAAGTCACAGATGTGATTATTATTGTTCTATGAGAAGAGAGAAGCCCTTGAGAATTTGCAGACGTCATGGCTGGCTGGCATCAGGTTGGAGGGTAATGACTGGGTTTGGGTATTTTTGGTGGAATCCCAGAATTAGGTTGCAAAGCCTGCTTGTTTTGGAGGCAGCTGCTGAAGGATGCAATTGGGGTGGTCAGTTCCATTTCCTACTATCTTCTTTATTGATTCCATGGAGAGATTGGCATGAGTTTGGGTTCCAAATGAGAACCTTAAGAAACACACCAACTATGGTCCTTCAGGGAGATAGATGACAAAAATTGTTCTCTGGTCAAAGAAGTCAGATATCCTGCACACTAGCCCTCATTATGGCTGACTGAAGGTTGTGGTGTATTGCAGCATATTGGATGATGAAGAAATTATTTGACTCAACTCATGAGCTATCCCATTTATTTAACTGTAAAATATCCTCCCCCCCCCCCCCGCCGCGAGTTGTTATAAAACATCTAGTATTAGTAGAGACTAACATATCACAGAATGAATTTTCAACAAAAGAATTTGGTAGTAACCAAATTGGATGTTTTTACCGTGATGGGAAGGGAGATTCAGCTAAGAATAGGACACAATAGGTTATTCATGAAGGCATGGGAGTTTCAAGAAGGGTAAGGAATGCTAAAGGTGATCCATGAGGATACTAAACCCAAGCTGACAGTCTTGCTAAGGGCTGGCTCTAGTTCCCATTCCAGACTTAATTAATTAATTTATTTATGCATTGGAAACCCAGTCATTTTAAAGTGAGATCATCAGCTTGTAAGGACCATTGTTTTATCTTCGTATGGTCTGGGATTGTCTGGTGTAGAGAAGAAAGCAGAAGTGAGAGCCTGAACAACAATGTTTGCTCAGGTAGATGTGAAAAGAGGAAATAAAGGATCGGCAAGGGAGAAAGGCATCACTGAGGTGATAGGGAGACAAAGGATTCACTGGTAATGGGAATTACAGGTGGGAGGCAGAGGGGAGGATGGAGCAAAGGCAGACACTGGAGATTTGTGACAGGGAGAAGCTAAAAAGTCCCCTTCCTCAAGGCAGAAACAAAATAACAACTGGGGTAAAAAGTCTTCCTAAAGTATGGAGTGCTCTTTTTGTGTCTTGAGCGTAGATGCCTGTTCTTACAGGTAGAATTCTGTCTTTGAGCCTGCAGGGTCTGCATTTCTCCTCAGTGTTGATAGGGCCCGGTCTGAAATTCTAATAGTGGTCTGCTGCCTTAAAAAATATCACAGTGGTTAAGTGAAAGCAGGAGAATAGCAACAGGGAAGAGTCCAGGTGTGCGGAAGCCGGAGTGAGGGAGGGGCTGAGAAGTTCCTCTTACCCAGGGATGTCAGATGTCCACTTCTTGCATGCAAAGCAACTAGGAGCTCTTTGACCAGCTAAGGAAGCTTAGAAATACTGGAAGCTAAATGCAAGATATGCAACACATTTGGGAAATTCTCTCCCATGTAGAAGGATAAGATCAGCAAATTCTTCTACCAGGGTGCCTTGTGATTTCTTGTCAGTATGTGTGGAAAAATCATGTTAAAAACCCTAATGGTTTTTGTAATTTACAAAAACTATATACTAGTCAAAAGGTGGAGGTGTGAAGTGGAGGCTAGGAGTGTAGGACAACTTCTTTTACAAGAAAACTTTTCAAATCACTGTTCCATGACAAATTTAATTCTGAGAAACTGATTCTGTCTGGGACAAGATAATCCTCTGGGATAGTGCCTAGAATTCATGAGTAGAGTTGGAGGCATGATCAAATGGTGGAGTAAAACTACTAGCAAGTGCCAGGCCTTATATTCAAACCCTTCAAAAATATGGTATCCAGCTACTGGGTTCTGGTGGCTCATGCGTCAAATATTAGCTACTGGGAGGCTGAGGGTGGAAGGATCATAGTTCAAGGCCGGTCTAGGCAGAAAAGTTCTTGAAAGCCTATCTTGAAAAGAACTAGCAAAACAGCCAGGCTGTAGGTGTGGATGAAGTGGTACAGCTCACCTGCCTAGCGAGTTTGAGGCCCTGAGTTCAAACCCCATTACTGATGAGAAAAAAAAAATAGCTAAAAGAAATTCTCTTCTCTTAGGGAAAATGGTTCAAATGATATGCTAACTTCACAGACTGGGATCCCTAATGTAGACAATTCTAATAGCTGGAAGAGTGACCTACACTCTAAGATTACTGTTCTCAGTTGGGAGGGACTGGTGGACCTGAAGACAAGGGTCTACCACTCTTTGCATCAGATGCAGGAATCAAGCTGCTTTGAGGTACACAGGTCCCTTGGGATCTCTCACTCTTTTGCATAAATGAAGAAACTCACTAGGACCTATTCTGCCTTTGAAATGAAGGACACAGGTGTGCTGGGTGGATGTTTCTCTATATGTTGATATGAGGATGTAGAGAAAGAATACTGAGACAGTGAGTGTGTGCTTGGGTCTACGTTATGACACCATTTCTCTGAGTGTGTTATACAGTTACGATGGTTTGGATTGTTTGAATGGAATAACATGATTACCCATGGTATTGCACGTCTCCAATTCCAAATAAACACAATGGCAAAAAGTAGACAAAAATGCAGAAGGAATAATAAAGTCACACAATGTCACTGAAGTCATGCAAAGAGGAAAACCAAAGGTTAAAAAAAAAAAAAAAACAACCATGGGCAAGCAACAGATACCAGAAATGAAAAACAGCAAAAAGAAAGAAAGAAAAAGCTGATGCATACAATTCTAAAATCATTCTTACCTTCTTCAGTCATTGTGTCATAATATTTTAGTTTTCCATATGATCCAAGTTCTACAACATCACAGTAAAAGACACAAAGATAAGGAACGAGCTATAAGGCAAGAACTTTGTTTTTACACATTCTTAATTAATCAGATTCAGAGTTATACTGTCAAATTCGGCAATCGTAACTGTATGGAGATGTGCACACACAGACCATGTGGCAGACAGCTTCCACGGCTCATTTTCGGAAATCACTTAAGATGTATTATTCTATTGGGGGTGGGATGAGCCTTGCATTTCAGAGTTGGACACTGTTTTTTTTTTTTAAACAGCCAATGACACTGAATACTTGGCAAGAATACTTCACCCAGGCCTCATCTAGCCCTGCAATTTTTAGAGACAGAGCATGAACAATATAGAGGCTTTTGGACACTGGCATTCCTTGTCATGAATCAGTAGGCCCACGGTTCACCTCATGACTTTTCTTTTTCCAACAGAACCTAAAGAACTTCCTGAAGAATATGGAAGCCACCTGGGGAAAATCCAAGGTAAAAAACAACAACCCTAGGTTTTAAACTGTCTGTTTACTGCTGATTTCCAATGCTGAAGGGTCTAAAACACTGTCAGGTGTTCTGGGAATTGTTACTGCTGTATATTTTCAGGGAAGATCATTTGGCTCAGGTGACAGAGCTGTCTAAAAAGCAGAGGGCCTGGAGCATAAGAGCCCTTCCTTTGAGTGCAGATGGCCCAGTGGAGCTAGCTGGGGTGGAAAGTGCTGGCAGTCAGGGAGTTGCTCTGAGTCAGCTGGTGCCATGGCAGCTGGAGTGGAGGGGTGGGGGAAGAGAAGATGACGATATACCATTGCTTTTTTCCCCCCTTTACTTCAGTTTAAAAATAGAAACTTTTTTATTCTTGCTCTTCTGAAAATCCCAGATTGTTTCGAGCAACACTGTGAGAAGATTAACAATATTTATTTTCTTGATTGTAACAGTCTCCCAATAAACTTCAAGAAATTAATTAGACTCCAGAGATATCCCTGTGATTCTGAAGAAGGCTTCCACAGCCCATTAATTTAGGCAGCTGCTGGAGATCCATTGAATTAACTTATAATTGATGGCTTTGTATACAAGAGGAAGGATCTAGCTTGAGATGCAATAAACATTCTTGTATATTTGTATCATACATATAGTCTTTTTTTCACATGCTTAAAATATACCTAACATGTGCTAGTACAAAATTATGCCTTGGGAGAGAAAAATCACCCATCTTTACACCTTTTATAAAAACTCGCCTAGTCTGGCTTTTGTTAGATATATTACAAAAGATTCAGGTGCTTCAGTAAGAAATTGAAATAAGAATATTTCCCCCCACCCCCATGACTTCTGAAGACTGTCTTTGGTGGAATATATATATATATACATATATATGTGTATATATATATATATACTTACTATTTGAGGAACAGATGTCTATTATATATGCAATATTACACAAGCTTGGAATTTGTAAATGATCTAAATACCTTTATAACTATTAAACAGATGTTCATAGTAGTTCCACACATCATATCTGTGTATGTAAACTCACAGTAAGCTGATGAATGACATCAGCCAACTAATTTTTTTGTAGCCTCTCTTCCTTCTAGTTACAGCAGTAGAATAAGCTGCTGGCATTCACATTTATTTGCTCAGAAAACAGAACATGAGTGACTGTTTGCATGGTTGGCTGGAAACCATATTCTATGCAGTGAAGACACCCCGTTCCATTTTCACAGATCCATCTTGTTAGATGCAACCTTCTCTGCATGCACACACCTGTTTCCATGCATCAATCCGCAACATCTGCTGGTGGCAGATGATATTGTGCTTCACCTCATCTCTTGTGGAAGCAGGTATAAACAAATGCAATCGTATTGTTTCAGTGTCACTTTATGTTTACATAGAACTGGAACCGTTGATGTCTGACAAAGCTCACACTCACATATTATTGCCACTGTGGCTAGCAATAGTTAGCTGTTTCTTTGGATAATGAATAGGACAGAGAGACAAGAATGAGACACAGCATACCAATGGTGAAGGTAACGGTGGTGAAATTAAGAGCAGTGAGAAGCTGCATACCAGCAATGCCATGAGTACTCAAAGCCCAGTACAGAGGAAGGAGTAGAATGGTATCTGCCCAGGCGGAGAGAATTATGACTACAGTTTACTAAATACAAGGCAGAAAAGACTGGAGGAATCTCTAATTAACCAGCAAATACTGGACTAGAGGTGTGGCTCAAGTGGTAGAGTACCAGCTATGAATAGGAAAGCTAACTCCTGATACTAGCACAAAAAAAAAAGGATGGAAGGAAGACAGACAAAAGGACAAAAAAGAAAAGACTGAAGGAGAAAGTAGCCTATTAGAACAGTCTTGACTGGCAGCCATGGGATGGAGAGAGGACAACTTTATTAGCCGTATCCTGAGAAAAGCAGGATAGCCCTTTTCTCTGCCCCAGGTAAGTTGTAGAATAAGTTGTGTGACATGTGACCTGGACAAATACAACATGCAGGTATAAGCGACAGCCCATCACACACCTAGCTGTTGTCTATAGCCTATGGATATTTTAGGGAAAGTGGCCGCAGGCACTCTGTTGATAGCCAGTATCCAGACCTAGCTTGGCTGAGAGGGCCTGACAGGTAGGAATGAGAAGTCTCCTGTGCAGGCACATGGCTTCTAACTAGCACATTCTCCATAATAAATACCCATAATAAATACCTTCATTTTTTTTGGATTAGGATTCAGAGTGGATTCAACCCAACCTGAGTTTCTTTAGGATAGGAGGAGGGAGGTTGGAAAGGAGTTCAAGAGGCTATTATTTAATTCCATCTAGCAGTGATCACTGTATCAACTGAGCATGAGGCAGCCAGGATCAGAAGAGTGACAGTGACTTGGGAAATAGCATTCTGGGTACCATCTCCTGTCTTTTTTCCATAAGAAAGCCTTTTTCTTAAGAAGGCCTCATGGCCTGAAACAGCCCCCCAGTACCCAGAGGTTGCTGTTTGAGGTGAGCCTGAATTCAGATCATGGATACTGCCTGGCCTGGCAAGAGCACATGCTTTCTGGCCATAAAAATAGCTGGGGGTCTAGGTATCCCAGCTTCTAGAACTCAACAAGTTCCACTCTGTTCATTTTGAATCTTGCCAGCAAGACCCGTTTTAAGGTACCCCTGAGTTCTTATTCATATGTAGCAATTGGCAAAGCCAAAGGGCTTTATTTTGTCTCCAGTCCACAAGAATCTCTGGATAGAAATTAGTATTTGGGGTTCCCAACCAACATCCTCTTATCTGGTCATAGATTTCTTCCAACATGGCCTTTCAGTTTTTTTTTTCCTCCTCAATTGGAGGCTTTTGACATTCTCAACCTTTTCCCATCAAGCTCTAGAGGTGGTAGAAAATGATTGCTCACATTTGGGACCTCAACGTTCTGATGGCTCAAATGGAAAGCCAATAGAAGGGCTTAAACTAATTTCATTTTTATTAAAATGAAAAGTAGAGGTAGAGAAATCAACAAGACCAAAGCATTTATTATTTAAGTGTTAGCTGATGGGAAAAATAATGGTTGGTCACATTTCTGAAGAGCTAGTTTTATTTTGGGAAAGGCCTAACAATCAAGGCTTTTCTCAATACAGGCAGCAGTATCTTGGTGAAGTCATCTCATGCTTATCACAGAAGTATTTACCAACAATAGATTGCAACATACTTGTGGACGGCTGATTTTTGTTTTTGTTTTCCGTTTGGTAGGGCTTGATAGTTAAGCATATGGGATTTAAAGTCAGGGGCTGTAGGTTTGAATCCAAGATCTGCCACTTATTTGATGTGTGACTTTGAGTAAGTTGTTTCACCCCTAGGCACCTTCCAGTCCTCAGCTGTAAAGGGGCCATGGAAACTATATCTAATCTAGGCTTGGCAGTGAGGGCAGACAATTGTTAGGAAGCTGTCATTAATACTAGCACCACAGAGATGACTGAAAGAGAAACCATGTAACAGGGCATCTAGAGAACTTTTGAAATGTAATTTCTTTTCTTCTTGCTGGTTTTGGGCTTGAACTCAGGGCCTGGGCATTGCCTCTGAGCTTTTTCAGCTTGAGGCTTGTGCTCCTGAGCCACAGCTCTGCTTCTGGCATTTAGTTTTTGGTGATTAAATTGGAGTTAAGAGTTTCATGGACTTTCTTGTCCAGGTTAGCTTTGAACCACAATCCTCAGATTTCAGCCTCCTCCTGAGTAGCTAGGAGTACCGGCATGAGCCACTGGTGCCTGGCTGAGAACTTGATATTCTCTCTAGGCTTGTCAAAACAAATTCTACACCACTTCCAAAAGTTCTAAATCAGGTTGTGTTGTCCAATGGCAAAAGAGATTTCACTGTGTTGATGCCACTATTTCATGAAATGATCTCTTCATAAATCTGCTTGTCTCCTTTCAGATCTAGATGGAATTGAACATAGATTACAAAGCCAGGGGAGCAGGAAGGGAAAAGTGGCCCTTTCATCCATGCAGTTGGCCTCATTACAGCTCTTTTCTTCCTATATTTGCATGTGTGTCTGTCCTTATGACTAAATTGTGTAGATGTTTGAGGCAGAGTCTCTGTTCCTCCAGGAGGACTTGGGACTACCCTCGTTTCCATCAAAGGCTCTCCTCATGTTGTCTAGATAAAGTATGCAAACACCCCGCTCTTAGCTGACAGCTATGTTCAGAATGCTTTGGTGTGCTGAACCATTAGAAGATAGGCACTGATTGTGGCTTTTCTATGACCACTACCACAACTTTACCATAAAGGTGAAGTGGGCCTCACCCTTGGTACTACTTCGTAGGAGCTGCATGCCTTTCTCTGAGCCTTGGCCTCTTCTATCAAATGAGAAAATAGACAACAAATGCTTATTCTTGAGAGTTTTGGGAGCATCTGATAAGATGTCTGTAAAGTATGTTGCACTGGTCTGTAGGAATATATTTTTTTTGTGGGGGAGTTAATCCTTTATTGTTTTATTTTTTCAGATAAAATCTATTTTTGCTAGAGTGGGTCTTGGACTGTTTTCCC